CCATCTTCAAAACATTTTGGATACTGAAGCCATGGCTCAGTCTTTACAGTACTAACTGCTCTTCCAGAGGACCCAGGATCAGTTCCCAGCATCCACATGGTGGATCAAAGCCATCTGTAACTCCAGTTCCAGGGGACCCAACACTTTCTTCTGGCCTCTACATATATGCAGACAAAACACTCATGTATATAAGAATAAGAAGAAGGTTTCAAAAGTGAAAGTGAGGTGCCAGCATTCTGCAATCAAATGTGAAGCTGTTTCCCTTCCTCCACGCCTCTGTCCCTTTTCTTCCGTCTTGTACCTAAAGGAATGGAGATTGCTCATTCTTTGAGCCTGGAGGATTGAAGCCAGGTGCAGTGAGACAGGCAGGACAGGGTTAAGTTCTGTGGGCAGCTGCACAACAGAATGGTTCAGAGTTCTGCAAGAGTCGGATAGCCTGTGTGGTAGGGGCTGGCTGTAGTGAGAGATCTACCTGCTTGGCTTCTCCAAAAGGCCTGGCATCAACCAACGTGGAGGGAGGGCTTGGCTCTGCAAGCCACTCACTCATTATGTTGGCAGCATGTTCTTGGCAATTGGGAGCAATGGCGGGTTAGACAGAGTTCTCTGTCCTTGAGCCTGTGTTCTACAGGGGAAGAGGCCCACAGAGAATGAGCCTGCATGCAAAGTGAGGCATCGGGGTCCTGTGGCGCTATAGAGCTTGACTGACATTTTCAAAAAGCTGGGGAGGGGGGCGCACACCTTTAATCCCAGCACAGGAGGCAGAGGCAGGTGGGTCTCTTGAGTTCGAGGCCAGCCTGGTCTACAGTGCAGCCACGACTGTACAGAGAAACCGTGTCTCAAAACAAAAACAAAGTACTGAATATGTAATTTTTTTTTTTTTGCCATTCCCTAAACAATACAATAAAATGACTGTTTCCATAACATTTTCATTCACTAGGTATTATAAATACCCTAGAGATGATTTAAAATATACAGGAGGCTGTATGTAGGGTAGATGCAAATTCTGTGACATTTTATGTAAAGGATGAGCTGGGGGAGGTGATCTCCGTGAGGGTTCTGGAACCTGTCCCCTGTGGATGCCTCAGCAGCTCAGCTGTGGGACCCTGGTTTTATAGCTAAGGGCACGCTCAGTACGAGAGATAACTTTGCAGAGGTCATTAGCATTCGAATCTGCTGTGGGGTCCCAGAGTATGTCTCACTAGCTGAAGTACTGCTCTTTGGCCATGGGGAGCCAGCAAATAGTGGGGTAGCTGTGGACCTGGTCCCTGGGAGTGGGTTGTTGGTACCGTCTGCTCTGCGCAGGACCTGCTCGCACTGCTGAAGACGAGGATGAATCCTGGTGGAGAAGGGCGGCTTAGTCAGCGCCCCATGCTGCTGTGCGGGCCCCGTGCACAGACACTCCATCCGGCCGGCCGCCCGCCTCTGACAGTTCAGTGTCAAGGGACACCATGGTACAGGGTGGCTTTGTCCCAGATGCCTGGCTGTGGCATGGCTGTCTCTGCTTACAGTGTGGCTAGTAGCTTCTGCAGGCCGCCCCTTAATATTTGCCCAAGTCCTTGGCGGGAGGCAATTGCATCAGGAGCCTGGAACTTCTTGTCTGGGGAGGTCACCTTGCTAAAGGCCAGCTCCTGCCAAAGCCTGGCTTTGAGCCCCTGGCTGTGGGGACAAGCCTTGGAGAGAGGTGAAAAAGCACCGAACCTCTGCTGTTCTCCCTGGGCAGTGAAGGCTGTCGTGCAGCATGGGAGTCTGGTCTGTGGGGCTGAGGGTCACCTCTGCCTTTGTGCTATGGACTTCCGCAGCTCCCTGGTCCTCCTTAGCCCACTTGCCTTCCCTGGAATGTAACTTGACTAATTCCAGAGGTCACTTGAACACAGACATCCAGTTTCAGCAGGCCTGTAATAATGATAACATTGGTAGCCAGGCTCTTATGAGGGCCTGTATGGGCCTGGTGCTGTGTTCAGTGCAAACATGAATGCTGTTTGACACTCAGAGCCACCCATGGGCCACTCTTAACACCCCTACTTGCATAGGAGACAGAGTCAGAAGTCAAATGGCTGTTAAGATCAGAGCTAGAAAGCAGTAGCCTTGGATTTAAACTCTTGAGCCCAGCTCTTACCCCTTGCCCACGTGACCTTTCTAGAAACTAGACCAAGTGATAACAGGGTCTGGGACTCAGTGCCATCCTAACAGTGACAGTTGAGCGAATGGCACTATTGTGGGCACCTTCTCACCAGCAGACACTATTAGACCTACAGAGGTCCTTAGAGATGGATGGGCTGGTTTGACCTCCCTCGTGCCCCTGCACAGTGAGGCCCTGAGAGTGACAGCCCCAGCTCCACATGACACAGCTGTACGCCCATCTGGGGTAGCTGGAGGAGGGTGTGGGTAGGCACCCACGCCTCTTAGCTGAGGCTGGTAAAGGAAGTTTGCCACCACATATGTGTGCGTGAGGGAGGGCTCACATAACCCCCCCCGGGGGGGGGGGCTTATCTGGTTTCTAGGTTTCTAGTGTGGCTGAGCGAGCAGGCAGGCAGAGAGGCCTGTGGCCTGGATTTCCTAATGGGCTGGTGTCTGCAAACGCTGTGTGGAGGTTCCCTGTTCTGAAACCTGCTCTGTGCCCAGGGAGCTTCATAGTACCCCTCTAATCCTATTTCATAAGGAGGTTGTAATGCACACATTTGGGGCTTCAAAGGGCCGGCGCTGCATTGGGGGTGTGGTGAGTAACTAGGAAAGCATCAGTTTGATCTGTTGGAGACTTATATGGTTAGTAGAGCAGGCCTTCTGCCTGGGTTCTAACCCAGCTCATACCTTGTAGTGGTATGACCTTGTCTTAGTTGTTCACTTTTGGGGCTGCATGCCCTTGGCCTGAAGTGTCATGTTGTCCCTTGCAGGTCATGAAGAGGGTCACATGGGCCATGCATGTAAAGCTCTTGGCTCAGGACCATAGTTCCAATAATACTCTCCCTCCACACACACCCCTCCAGCCCTTGCTGCTAAGTGTGAGTGTTTGTTTCAGTTCAGTATCCTTTTCTCCGAGGTGTTGGGGGTTGAACCCACTGCCGCCTCAGCTAGGCACAGGCTTTGCCGCTGAGCCGCAGCCTAGCCTTAATATGCAAATGTGTATCAGCACCTTTCTCTACCTACTCCTGAAACAATAGCTGCTCATTCACGTCCACGGCCTCCTAGGCACACAGCACATAGACGCGGCAAGACGGGAGAGTGAGTGGCACAGGGCCACACAGCTGGTTTCCCTGAGGCCTGCGCGGCTTTGTCCAGCGCAGTCCGTTGCAGAGCCACTCCTGTCAGTCTCCCAGAGGGGCACCTTCCTCCGCCCCTCCTTTTCCCATTACTCTCCAGAGCCAGGCAGCTCCTTGGAGCTTCAAGTTTCGTGAATGGCTTGGTTAAGCACTCGGCCGTTAAGCGTTCATCTCTTACAATTTCAATCCAATTCCTATAAGTTTATTGGCAAGACGGGGTGCATTAGAGCTGCCAAATTTAATAGATCAAGTTCTCGTGTCTGGGATGCAGTTTCTCGGAAGTAGTGGGAGAAGAGAGGTTTTATACGTTTTCATTGGAATGACTAGCTGTTCCTGACCCCATTACAGCCCTGACTTAATGGCTGCCATCTCTGTGTGCCCACAGGAGCAACTTTCTCCACCAGCCTGCTTGGCTGCCTGAGCCATCAGGGCAATTGTTTGTCTCTGCTTCTTCCCCGTCCTTCCTCTCGAGGTGTGTTCCCCCATCTGTCTGCGCTGTGGATTGGCTCCCAGAGTGAGCCTTGTTTGCCAGGTGCCTGGCAGTCTGGGGCTTTGGCTGCTACTCCAGGCAGCTACCTTGTAGCCTCGGGGAAGTTATCTCCATCTTCCTCTAGCCTCCGCCTTTACAGGTCCCTCTGGATGGCTCCCAGTGGGCTGCAAGACCCTGACAGAATCACTGCCTACCTTGGGCTGCAAACTCCTGGCAAGGGAACAGTGGCTGAAGGGGCCTAAGACTGCAGAGTTCTTGTTTTCAGTCTGATGCGGCTGCCGGCTGGGAGCCTCTCCCCCACGATTCGGTAGTCTCCTCAGGAAGCTGGGAGCGCCTGCTGTGGAGCGCTCTGGCTTCCCTGATCACTGAGCTAGCTGTAGGAGGGGGACACTTGGCAACAGAATTTTTAGGGACCCGTATCTGCTTTCTGCTTACCAGCTGTGTGATGTTAGGCAAATCACTTCCTCTCTGAACCCCAGTTTTTCCCAAAGGGAACTCGGTGATTTATTAACTTACTCTGCAAATGCTTGATTGCCTACTCTGTTTCAAATACCATTTCGGTGCTGGGGCACCTGAGAAACAGCAGAATATACATGGATTTATATTCCTGTTGGAAAAGAAAAAGTAGCAACACACAATCCATTGCTTTGAAGGAGATGAGTGCCATGAGGAGAAGGAAAGCAAGAAGTGTGGAGAAGAAAGAGGGTCCTGTGTGCTCAGCTCCAGCGGCCCTGGTCGATCTTTGAGCAAAGATCAAAGAACCGAGTGCCCAGGTGTGACAGATATCTTCAAGACAGCATCCAGGCCCAGGGACAGCCAGTACAAACACAAGAAGGCAGCCAGCCGCATGCCTGGCATGTGGGAGGAGCAGAGGGATGGCCTAACCAGAGAGAACAAAGGAGGTCTGAGGTGTGGCAAGGACAGAGGAGGCCAGACAGAGTGGTGGTGATGATGATGGCGGTGATGGCACTCCAGCTGGTCCAATATTAGAATTACCCAGAAAAAAAGTAAATCGGCTAACCTGGGCCTCATACCCTGAAGTTGTAGCTGGGCTGGCTGGTGTTGGAGCCTGAACAGCAGACGTGTAAGGTTGCTCCCAGTGGTCAGCTCTGCAAACTCCACAGGAGGCAGGCCTACAAGGAAGCCTTGGACCAGGCCTGGCTCACAGTGCTCGGCTGATGGCGCCATGTTCAGAGCTTTGGCGCAATAATCTTTTCTTCAATGGCCTGACCAAGTACTTTGTGGCTTTGCAGGGGTCCCCAGCATTTGGTGGAGGTGGCCATGGGGAAGCGCTACTTCTGTGATTACTGTGACCGCTCCTTCCAGGACAACCTCCACAACCGGAAGAAGCACCTGAATGGGCTGCAGCACCTCAAAGCCAAGAAGGTGTGGTACGACATGTTCCGAGGTGGGTCCTTGCAGGCTCGGAGGCTGGCCCCTGACGCCTGCATCTTAGACAGGGACCACCTTAGGGACAGTCTGGGGGACCGATTGTTTTTCTTGCGTTTATGTTTGTTTTTATATGTGACGGTTTGCCCGCTGTATGTAAGCACACCATGTGTGCTCGGTGCCTGTGGAGGTCAGAGGAGGTGTCAAAAACTCCGCAGCTGGAGTGATGGATGCTTGTGAATTGTACCATGGAGGTGCTGCAGACTGAACCCAGGTCCTCTGCGAGAGCAACAAGTGCTCCTAACTGCTAAGTCATCTCTTTAGCTCTATTTAGTTACATGTGGCGTGCGTGCGTGCGTGCGTGCGTGCGTGCGTGCGTGCGTGCGTGTTTGTGCCGATTGTGAATGTACTGTATGTAGAGCTCAGAGAACAATGTAAGGTAATGCACACCTTTATTTCAAGTACTCAAGAGGCAAAGGTAGGTGGATCTCTATGAGTTTGAGGTGAGGCTAGCCTAGTCTACATAGTCTCAACCCTTGCATTAATATCATCTAGGAACCTTTAAAGAAAAAAATGCTGTTGAGGCTTAGTAGCTTGGAGGTGTTGCTTGGGAAACTGAGGCAAGAGGCTCACTCAAAGCCAGCAGCTTTTTGGTTTTTTTTTTTTAAACAGGATCTTACTCTAGCACAAGGTAACCTGAGCCTGGAACTCACTATGTAGCCCAGGCTGGCCTTGACCTTGCAGCAGCTCTCCTGCCTCGGCCTAGTGTAGGACCGCAGGCCTGAGTCACTAAGCCGGACATGTCCAGGAGTTTGAGGCCAGCCTAGGGAAACTGCAACGTCTATCTCAGTCAAAACAGCCTTGATCCCCGGACTCCATCTCCAGATGCAGGTTTCGGGGTGAGGGCTTGGGGCCAGCCATGTTGTTTGTTTGTTTGTTTGTTTTAAAGATAGTTTCACTGTGTAGCTGTCCTGGTACTCACAATGTAGACCAGGCTAGCCTATGGCTGGCCAGCTATGCTATCTTTAAATTTCACAGGTACTCCCCTATTTCAGGTGAGGAAAACAAGGCTCAGAGATTTGACAGAGGGAGAGTGGCCCACCAGGCTAGTATGTGGGGGGCGGGGGCAATGGCCGAGAGTGGGGGCAGCTTGGGAATTCACGAACAGTGGTGCTTCCAGAAACCTGGCATCGGGCTGACAAGACTTCCCGACCCCAGATCCAGTGGAGCTTATGCTCTGGCATCAGCTGGGCGGAGACCGTCTCGGCATCGACTCCTAATCTCAGGTCCTGCGTTCAGGCTGAGCAGCAGAAGTCTTTATATCACTTACAGAAAGGTGAAAAGGCAGACGCATGAGCCCCACCTCAGGGCTCCTTCAGGCACACACAGTCCTGTGAGCAGCTCTGCGAGGAAGGCCGGGTGTCCGGACGTCCCCACTGATAGGTGAAAACTTTAAATATAGACCACCCAGGGTTTCCAGGTGTTGGTGGCTGGGCTGGCACATGAACTCTTCCCCTTGAGCAGCCTCTCCTTGGCTTGTTCCACGCAGCTCTGCAGACTCTGAGAGGCAGTGTGTGTCAGCTGGTGCTGAGGCTTCACTCGGCACCGTTTTGTCCCTCAAGACAAGTCCATGAGCCCTCCAGCAACTGGTGTTCCTCGGGCCGTGGTCAGGGTGCGCACAGTCTGTAGACCAGCTGCCTGTCGGTCACCGACGACGTGACCCTGACTTTGCTGTATGTAAGCCAGATGTAACGGTGGTGCAGGGAGCGCGGTGACTAGCGCAGGCGGGTGTATTAAGAAGGAACGAGGTCTGTGTGCCCCGAAAGCAATGACCTCAGGCGCTTTGTCTCCTGAGCTCCTTTACGCAGCCATTGCTCAGTGAGAACTTAGTACTGGGCTTCACAGCCAGCCTTTGAAGTCAAGGGTGGGCAGAGCAGGGCCCTCCTCTCATGTAGTTGTATGAGTTACTTATTGTATGTATTTTTTTAATGTGTGTGTGTGTGTGTGTGTGTGTGTGTGTGTGTGTGTGTGTGTGTATGTGTAATGGCTTGCATGTGAAAGTCAGAGGACAGCTTGTGAGAATCAGTTTTTTTTCTACCTTGTGGGTTCTGGGTGTGGATTCAAGTCTTGCGACTGGGTAGCAAGCTGAGCTCTCTCTAGGGACCTGCACTCACGTAGGCGAGGTGTTGTGGGCAAAGTCCCTGCCTTGTTCTGGCTTCTGTGTTCTGCTGGCCCTGACCACACACCCCTGTGTCTGTTCTTCTACTGCCTTCCCACATCCAGACAGTCCCTGAATCTCAGAACTCAAGTTAGACAGCAAAGCCTCAGGGATGCCTTCCCATCCGCAGGGCCAGGCCAGGTCAGGTCATCTGGTGACACGGTCAACACTTACTGTAATGACATCCTTGTAGGATAGCGCAGCTGTGAGACTGGAAAGAAGGACAGGGTCTCACTCCATCTGCACTTAAATCCTCAGCCTGGCACAGTGCCTGGTACACAGGAAGGATGTGCTTAGTCAGGCTTTGAGAGATGAAGGGCTAAATGAGCAAACAAGCATGGGTGCCAGGGCAGCTGGGTATTTGGGAAGGTGAAGCTTGAAGACCTGATACTTCAGGTCACAAAGAGCACGCCACGTATCAGTAGAGGAGCAAGGCCCCTCTGTGGAGGGCCTGGGCTGCTGCACGTTCTCAATTTGGTGTCCTTCAGAGGCACTGAGGAATTTTTAGCAGTTATAATGGCTCTCCCTCTTGGAGGAATTAAAACAGAACTGGAAGGTGTGCATGTGTATAATCCCAGCACTCAGGAAGCTGAGGCAGGAGAATAAAGAGTTTGAGCTAGTCAGGGCAACACAGTGAGTTCAAGGCCAGCCACGGTTACACAGTAAGATCCTGTCCAAAGAGAGGGAAAAATATAAATGGAACCTGAGAACTGCACAAGGTGATGCAGGCTTGTAATCCCGGCCACTCAGGAGGCTGAAGCGGGAGGACCGTCAGTTCAAGGCCTCTCCAGCCCACAGAGAACCTGAGAGGAACAGAGTGATTGTCCATGTACTGCCATAGCTCCCACATGCATCTGGAGTGAGATGGGAGCAGAGACACCAGGCAGAGGCTGAGTAGCATGGAATTCTCCCACACTCAGACATCCACTCAGGGACCCTTGTCTGGGATCCAGGCTCAGCTCTACAGCCAGCCTCAGTGGTACTAGGCCCAGAAGGGTCCTGAGAAGTGGCCATTAGTGTCTGTAGTCTCAGCTGGACTGGACAGGTGGCTGGTTCTTCTACCGAGCCTCACACGGGAATAAATTCTCTGATAACCAGCTTTTATCCCAGAGGACTTCCTGCTCTGCTAGCCACTAGTTGCTCTGCAAGGAAGCATCCCCATGCACCGTCGCTTGCCCAGACACCTGAAAGTGGCCGTGTTGACAGAGCAGTGCGCCACAGTGCAGTCTAGGTGCTGCCACTTCCTGACCGAGTCCTCGGGAAGCTCATTCCCTGCCTCTACAGGGTGGAGCTGTTAGCACAGTACAGTAGGAAGGGGACGGCCATGGCTGCTTGGGAGTACTCTTGAGTGCTGGGAAAGAGTCTACCAAGCTTGTCCAAGCCCTGTGATTCTCAGGTACCAGCAGGACTGTGACCCGCCTCTCAAGGGCTCCCCATTCATTGTTCTGTTAAATTGCAGCTGGGAACTTTCTTCCTGTTACATGGGATAGTCCTGGGAAGACAGCAGCTTCCTGTGGCCATGTACAGCTGGGGTTTGAACAAGTATCCATCCCTCTCCTCTTGTCCAGAGAGGATAGAAGGGCCTCTGAGTTCAGGGATCACCCTTCCCTACCTTACTCAGATTTTTCATTTGTTTTGAAACACGATCTTGCTGGGTTGTGGTAGTATACACCTTTAAACCCAGCACTTAAGAGGCAGAGGTAGGGGAATCTCTGAGTCCAAGGCCATTGTGGTCTACAGAGTGAGTTCTAGGCCAGCCAGGGCTAAGAGAAATCCTGTCTTGATTTCTCAAAAAAAAAAAAAAAAAAAAAAAAAGAGAGAGAGGAAGAAGAAAGAAAAGGAAGAAGGAAGGAAGGAAGGAAGGAAGGAAGGAAGGAAGGAAGGAAGGAAGGAAGGAAAGGAAGGAAGGAAAGGAAGGAAGGAAGGAAGGAAGGAAGGAAGGAAGGGAGAGAAAGAGAGAGAGAAAACCTGCCTCTATGGCCTAAGTTGACCTTGAACTCTTACACTCCAGTATCACCCTTCCAAGTATCAAGGACTGTAGGTGTGCATCATGCCTGGCCTACTCACAGATTTTGGGTTGATTGAGAAGCACTCAAATTTAAAACCATAACTGTATGATGATTATAAAGGGAGGAGAAATTGGAAGCCAGTGTCCAGAATGATCTCTGGGAAGCCCTGTGCGGGGCAGTGTGTGGCTCTGAGTCCCCCCAGCTGCTGTCAGAAAAAATGAAGAGCAGGAATCTCAGCCTCGCTTCGGGAGCCATCCCCGGGCCCTGGCGGGGGAGGCGGGAAGGCAGCACAGTCCTGTGCATCAGGACTCTTCAGAAGTTTTTCGTGTTAAAATATCTTGTGCCACTTAGTAGCAGGGATACTTTGTTGTGTGGCTGTCACAGATGAAGACGGCCACTATATCACTAGGCGATAGATCAGCACTGAGCATGTGGCCTCCGAGGAGCAGAACCTGTGTGTGGGCTGTGACTGTCCTCAGGTGTGCAGGAAGTTAGGGAGACAGTACACAGAGGTCCTGTGGTGCTACATTTTTCAGATCAGCCTCCCCATCTGAACCCATTGGGCAGCCAACCTGAGCCTCTAGCTTGAAGCTGCCTTATGGTCTCAGCTGGTCCTGAGGGGTGTGAGGCATGGAGGTCACCTCAGCTTGGACCCCTTCATCCACCATCTCTACCCACAGTGGCCATCCCCAGCTTACACTCTCCTCCATGGGTGGAGAGGTCTCTTCTTTCCTTAGGACTGTATGCCACTGACATCATGCCCTCAAGGCTCCACCTCCTTGGTGGAGCCATCTAAGTCCAGCCTTCTCTTCCAGATGCAGCCGCCATCTTACTGGATGAACAGAACAAGCGACCCTGCAGGAAATTCCTGCTGACAGGTACGTGCTCTGCTCAGCTCTAGTCCTTACAGAAAAGCTACATCTTGTCTGGCCTACATGGCCCCTGTAGTGCCCCCTGCAGGGCCTGCCGCCATCCTTCTGAAGCACTTTGTAGTCTTGCCTTTAGCTGACTGGTCAGTTGAAGCATCTCTAGGACCTTCTCACCTGGGGGTCTCTCCAGGTGTAGAATATGATTTTATTGGCTGTCTTAGAATAAGAGGCCCTAGGGAACGTAAGCCAGGGAACACAACTGAGGTCATAGAGCAGCTGGTTAAGTTAGCTGGAGAGCCTGATCTTCTGCGCCCTCCTTCCCAGCAGGCAGAGCCAGAGATAGCTACAGCATCAGAACCATGCATGCTAGGTATTCCTTTGAGTGCTTAATACTCAGCCCATTAAAAAAAAAAAAAAAAAAAATGAGGATAGGACTGGCGTAATGGTGCTTGCCTATCGTCCTAGCACTTGGGAGGTGAAGGCAAGAGGGTTAAGAATTCAAGCTAGTGCCAGGTGAGCACATGCCTTTAATCCCAGCACTCAGGAGGCAGAGGCAGGCAGATCTCTGAGTTCGAGTCCAGCCTGGTCTACAGAGTGAGTTTCAGGGCATCCAAGGCTACACAGAGAAACCGTGTCTCAAAAAACAAAATAAAACAAAACAAACAATTACATATATATTATATCTACTTCAAAAAAGAAATAAAGGTATCATTAAGGGAAGCAAAGACACAGGATGGAAAGAAGTCAGAAGATCTTGAAATAACTAGCTCCGTGCCATTATTGAGGGTCTGTGTACTCTCCTAAGGGTTTGGCCCTGAGTTTCCTGGCAGTCAAAGCAAAGATGGAAACCACAGGATTCACATTGTGTATACAGGCGCTTACCCTGGGTCAGGCATTGCTGTTAGACTAGGGAAGCTGGGTAAATGGCCAGACTCTCCTCAGGAGACAGTGCTGCCTGACAAGTAGCCACCAGGCCTGCAGGTCAGGGCCCCCCACAGACTTGGCCTTGGTATGCGTGCGCTGCTGGTAGCTATTCTAGCTGAGGACACCACCAGCCTATAACTTTGAGGGAAGTACTGCAGATTCCTTGATGATAATGGGAAAGCCATGTAAACATTGACATCTCTTTGGCAGAGTTGCCCCCAAGGTCTCTGAGGAGCAGCCTAGCTGCTTGTGCAAGCTAAATGAGCAGGCCACACGCCAGCTAGGGATGCAGCATTGTAGTGGCCTTGGCTAGAACAGGCCGAGGATCTCTGGAATCAACATGTAGCTCTTTGAGCCCCACAGATGCGAGCCCGATGGCATGGACTAGCGAGAAGGATGAGCTGCTGGTGCCTGTGTGACCCAAGGCTGACAGGCTTCCGCTGGATGCTCACGGAGGCTCCCCGCAGGGCATCAGGAACTGGGCAGAGCAGCCCAGACTGGCACCTCAGGCTGCTGAGTCTCAGTAGGGCCAGAGAGAGTCTGCTTATTTGTCCCAGACTGGGGATGCTGCTCTAGATCCCAGAATCCCACCCTCGGGCTCTGAGAGCTGTCTGTCAGCTCACCCTCCTGACAGAGAGTGACCCTCTGTCTTCCCATTGCAGGCCACTGCGACTTTGGTTCCAACTGCAGATTTTCCCACATGTCGGAACAAGATCTACAGGAACTGAGCATCCAGGTGGAGGGTACGAAGGGGTGAATCAGGATTGAGGGGTGCGGATGGGCGAGGCTGTGGGACCAGGAGGCTGCTCTGTGTCACTCCACTTTCTCCCTTACTGGCATGTACTATGTGAGTAAGCCAGCTCTTGGCTGCACGCATGCTGTCAGGGAATAAATGGTTGGCTGACAGTGGAGGGAACACGGGCCACAGGCCTGGAGCAGAAGGCTGTGTTCAGTGGAAACAGGGCAGCTGACAGGCTAAGTGGCACTGGCTCTGCCACCTCCCTCGTAAGCTTGGCACATGGATGGACTCTGGGAGGCAATAATGACTGTGGAGATGAGTGAGATGACACCTGTGCAGTGTCAGTGTAGAGCCTGGACCTGAGGGAATGTGGATCCAGTTATACTGCCCCTGGCTCAAGACCCCATCCCACAGTGCTCAGAGCCTGACTCCCTGGCTCTCACCGAGCGTGTAGGAGTTCTTCCTATTCACTGCTTGTTTTTTAGTATAGCCAGCAGCATTTTTATAGGACACTGGATGAGGAGAAGAGCCAGGAAACTGAGGCTTGTTATCTTGCCTAGGGTCAGAGACCTGGCAGGTGCCAGGGCTGAGAGTCAACCCCATTCTACAGTCCGCATTGCCTCCTGCACCCTATTTGTAAACCCCTCTTGAGAGTGAAGCTCTGTCTTCATTGTCCTGCCTTCTAGCTCCCCAAGGCTTGGAGACAGCCAGCCTGTCTCCATTTGATGGAGAGCAAAGCAGGACTTAGATCCCTGGGTCACTGTGCACAGAGATGCTGGGGAACTGGTGGAATGAAAGGGACAGACCTGTGGCTCTGATCCTGACCTACTGGCCCGCTTCCTCTTGGCAGACCAGTATGTCATCCCAGAGCTTTCCCAGCACCTCTGCTCTGTGGAAGAGAGACTCAGGCCACGGGGGTTGTAGCCCTTACCCTTCCTTGTCGCTCTGTCCCCCACAGAGGAGAGGCGGGCCAGAGAATGGCCCGTGGAGACTGCTGAGCTTTCCGAGGTCCACCTGGAGGACTGGCTGGAGAAGAGAGCTAAAAGACTGAGCTCAGCTCCAAGTATCAGGTACAGGCCCCAGAGCTATCCCTCCCAACCTGTCCTCTGGGGAAACTGAGGCAGCCCTAGGAACTGCCCAGGTCCAGGGACCAAGCATGAAGCCCCACAACAGAGCTCCCTGGGAACAGATCCGACTCCCCACTTGGCCATGCTAAAGGTCAGGGCCCTGCCTGTGGCAGCTAAGCTCCCCATGTACCTGGGAGCTTAGGAGCTACTGTCCTCTGTAGGGCCCTATAGAAGCAGAAACTGAAAGCCACAGACACCGGTGGAAGAAGCAGAGCAGGGAGAGGACAACAAGGTCATTATCCTACCGCATCCCTGAGGACTCAGGATGCTCTGACATGGACGTCCCTCCCTTCTTCTCCCGAGAATGTGCTGAGACAAGGACTATTAAAGTATGGCTGTATGCTCTCCTCTCTTTGGAGAGTTAGGATGCAGCCCGTACTTCATGTCAGCAGACAGATGCACGGGGGTGAGGGTAGGAGCTTCTGTGGCCACATCGTATCGGCCAAAAACAAGGCCAGGGCTCCCTGAAGACAGAGGAGGAAGGAGGGCCAAGGCTGAGCTTGAAAGCTGTGTGTGGCTTTGTACACACTGCCCCTGATTTCCAGACTCCACATATCTCTATGCTGTGGCCTCGGGGGACAGTGGCTTGGCTATATGAAGGGTGTCTGTCAATCTGTGAAGTGAAGGCTTTCCTCCAGGCTCTGCCACAGGTAAAGGTTGAGTTTGTTTTCCCAGAGGGAAGGAGTTAGTACTGTACTTAAACTTTTCTTTACATTTATCTGGGACAAGGCATGCACAGACAGACATTGTGGTGCGCAGGCACAGTCAGAGGATGACTCTCAGGAGTCAGTTTCTCCCTTCCCACCACGTGGCTTCCAAAAGTGGCTCAACTGTTACGTGTATGGGGGTTTTGCCTGCATGTTCGCCTGTGCACCCTGTGCATGCAGAGCCTGTGGAGGCCAGAAGAGGGCAGCGGATCCTGTGGCACTGGAGTTCCCGATGGTTGTGTGCTGGCCATGTTGGGCTGGAAATCAAACCCTGATCATCTGCAAGAGCAGCAGCGCCCTTAACCTGTGCCCTGTGTCTGTACCCCCACTTTAAAAAGATATAGTACAGCCAGGCCTGGGGAGACACACCTTTAATCCCAGCACTTGGGAGGCAGAGGCCAGCCTGGTCTACGGTGAGAGTTCCAAGAGAGCCAGGGCTACACGGAGAAACCCTGTCTCAAATAGCAAACAAACAAATTTTATGCACACACACACATACACACAAACACACATACTACAGATACAGCTCAAATGGTATATGACACCCCTTTCTTCTGGACCCATTTAAAGGGATATAATTTTGAATACTGTCCGAGAATCTAGGCTTCCTTCAGCCATGTCAGAGGGTTCACGCTAGCCAGAGAGCCTCATGGTACTCATCCTGAGCCCACCATCAGGGAAAGCTCTCCAGGCTTTCCACTTGCTAACTGTGACGTATCGGCTGCCTACTCCACTGTTCTGCCTCAGCAGTCTCCTTCCCTGGGAGTGAGTGACAGCCCGGGCACCTGGGGCCAGTGAGAAGGGCTTAGCAGGGCCCTGTCTCCGGCCTTGGGTGAAAGTAAGTAGAGCTAGCATGTCCGAAGTCCCAGTCTGAGTACAGACAGACATGCCCAGCATGAATATGGGAGCTAGGAAACCGAGGATGAATGACTAGGCCAAGTCACTGCTGGAAGTGGCAGCCACACTTGGCTTGGCTTGGCGTTCGTGCTGTGCCCTGTGCAGGGTCCCAGGCATCTAGGCAGCCGGGCACACTGTTGTGTAACTCTGGAGTGTGCTGTTGACCATCAGGTACTCGTGTGCTTGGTGAGACACAAGGGCTGTGCGGCTTCGGCCCCCCTCTGTCACCACATTCTGGGCCGCCCCAGGGCCCACCAGCCCCAGGTCTGAACTCACAGCGGCAGTGACCAGGTCGGGAAGAGGCCTGCACCTGTGCCACCGTAGGTTCTTAGACGTCTGAATGCTGATTCCTGGGCCACTCTCCTTCTGGCCACTTCCCGGGAATTGCTTTTCTCTGTAACTGCCAGTCTCCACCTCACCACTGGCCTCCTGGGGGTTTCAAGCAAGATGACTTCCTTTCTGGGCAGAGCGAGCTTGTCTAGGAGTTGGTTGCCAGAAGAGAGAGGATAGTTTGCTCTGAGACGTGTCCCCATTCTGTTCCTATCCAGCTTTGTGCTCTGCCTCTGCATCTCTGGACTCACTGTGCCCTGTTCTGTCCCCATCCTGGAGAGGAGCCCTGTGGGAGATGTGTCCCCCTTTTCCCTTGGCTGTCCTCTGCAGCCTTCCTCCCCACATCACAGCCCCACTAGTTTTGAGAGGTATCTTGGCCCCAGGCCACCCCTCTGAAACCTCTCAATGCCCATTAGGAAGACCCCCAGATTGCAACTTGGTCCACAGGGACAGGGCCTGAGAGGCAGCCTACTACCCACCGCTAAACCTTGCTTGGGTCACACTGGACACTGTCCTCACCTCTTCTGGCAAAACCCTGCTCAGCTTGCAAGCTTTAGCAGAAAAAAAATGGTGGCCCGGGACACAGTGACTGTGAAGACACATTTAGGGGAGCAGGGACCCTAGCTGACTAATAACACCGAGGGTCCTTTTGGGGGCTCCCCCTTTCAGGTGTATGGTTTTTCCCCTGGGTAGCAGATGCTACCTGCTTTCCCAGCACCACTCAGACCTGGGGGCTCCAGCAGCCACAGGCAGGGAACCCCCAGGTAAGCCAGGCCGACTCCCCCTCTCAATGGGGGACACAGGCTTCCCAAAGGCTTAGCCTGTTGTCTCCTGCTCATTTCCTCCGCTTTGAGGGATCAGCCAAGAGCAGACAGCAGCCGCAGAAGGGAACCACTGGCCTCAGACCTCAGACAGACGCACAGACTAATCCCTGGCCGGCCAGGCGATGCTGTCCACGCTTCCTATTGTTGGTTCTTGTGATTGTGCCTTTATCCCTCTTAATCTCCCTCACGCACCCTTCTCTGGGCCAGCGCTCTGTCCTGCACATTCACCTCTGTAAGACCATTTCCTTTTGATAAGGACCAGGGCCGAGGACATGGAAGCTGCTGCCGCCCTTGTGCACAGATCAATCAGGCCATGGAGAGCATTGCACACCTATGACCCCTGGACCCTGCAGGAGTGGGCCTCTGAGGCTGGGTCCTGGACCGTGAGGACCCTTTTCCTGTTGGGAGCCTCAGCGACAGGACACTGGCTGAGCCCCTTTCTTAGAGGTCGGGTCTGAGGCTTAGGGGCAGGAATTCCTGGAGACCACCCACCCTGGGAGAGCCCCACCATTACTGTGGCCCCTCAGTCCCTTCAGCAGCTGTGCAAGTCTCTCCTCTCTCCTACACACAGGTTTCTTTGTGGCTGGTGGAGCTTATAACACACACGTGCGCACGCACACACACACACACACACGGCACCACAGATCAGCTGCTTTCTCCTTTCTGCACTTTGCAGCAGGTGCCAAGCCTCTGAACAGGGGGTGTCCCTGTCCCTGTCCTCAGTGGGAGTTTTGGAAGCTGCATTCAGGGCTCCCAGCAAGACCTCTACTCTCAGCACATCTGCTGTGCTTCATACCCTCAGGGAAGGCTGGATAGATGTGGCCAGGCAAAGTCTCAGGTGGTCCCCCTCATCACCTCAGGCCTGAGTCATGCCCAGACAGCTACCAGGCGGCTCCAGCCTTCTCTTCTGCAGAGGGCTGGCCACTTAGTACCTAAGATGGTCAGGGGTTGCCAGGCCAGCCCCTTTCCTGAAAGTTGAGGCAGAAGGAAGGGAGAGAGCAGGGGACAGCACGGATTGCTCTTTTCCCACTTGCTTCAAAGGCTTGTGTGCTTGTAAAACATTTCATGTGGCTAACCCCTCATCCTTCAGCCTCCCCTGAATAGTGAGGTTTGCTTGAGGACTGCAGGGTTTCTCTAAGTCACGGTGTCTCTTCTCATGGGAGCTCTTAGCCTGGCATGACTATTGTGTTAGGGGATGACCTCCTAGTGCCAGGCCTGGGGAACTGACGCCATCCTCTGAGAGACGCTAAGTGGCTTCGAAGAGCCTGGGCAGCAGTGCCCACCTGGGACATCAGGAGGTGGGCCTAGGTCGGCAGGGTCTGGGTGGGGCCCAGGGGCAGGCTGCCTGTGTGCTGCTCTGGACCTGGATAGTCCAGGTTGCACCCAAGGATCCGTCCTAAGGATCACTTCAGATGGGCCCTGAATTTAGGGGTGAATAGTAAGGAGGAGAGTGAGTATCGTAAGAAGTAAGGCTTTTTGTTCAAATTAGAATATTTTTTTGGTTTCAGAGGCTTGTGTGCTTGTAAAACTTTTGAAAAGTATGAAGAGGTTAAAACAAAACAAAACTCTACCCACACACAACTACCACTCAGAGAGAACCACCGCTAACATTTGCTGTGACTTCCAGGTTGTTTTTATGCATTTATATATGTTATATATTTTTAAACAAAAATAGTATCATGCTATATACATTATTTTATAAGCTGCTTTTTCTCCTTACTCATATAGTATATCTTTCCTCATCAGTGCATATAGGCCTTGGTTTTTACGCAGGCTGCATAGCATTCTCTGCTGTGGACGTGCATATACGTTTCATCAGTCCCCACAGGTGGACACTAAGGGTACTCCATATTGCCCAAGACCGTTCTTGTGGTCCAGTCTCTGCCTACAGCCCCCATCTTGGGCTCAGTTCTGAGGAGAGGTTTCTGGCTCTGAGGGTCCATGTCATCCAGGCTCTGCTTCCAGACGGGCCGTGCAGGTGGACGCCCTTTCCAGCAGCCAGTGTGGTGGGAGAGCAAGGTGGGTCTGTGAGGTGCTGCACTCTAACCCTCTACCTCTCTCCTCTCCAGGGCTGAACCCATCAGAACCACTGTCTTCCAGTACCCCGTGGGCTGGCCGCCCATGCAGGAGCTGCCCCCCTCCCTGCGGGCACCCCCACCTGGAGGATGGTCCTTACAGCCCAGAGTCCAGTGGGGCTGAGCTCTCCTCAACTCCCCTCCTGACCCCAACTGGCCACCTGTCAGTCAGAGTAAAGACAATTGCTCCACCTAGGAGGTAGAGCTGCCTTCCCGCTGTTCCCCCTGGGGCTTCTGAGACTAGGAGCTGGGGCTTCCCCCCCCCCCCCAGCCCTCAGGGCATATCTTGAGGAGACGGGTGAGAAACATCCAGATGTTTATAAAGAAAGTCTGTCCTCGTTGCTTGGGCTGCTTCTCTTGCCGGCTTCTCTTGCCGGCACTCGTGTTCTTGGCTCTGTCCTCCTGCCTCCGTCAAGGGACAGGTGGGCTAGAACGAGACAAAATCCCCTCCAGGGTGCTCTCTGCTTACAGCCCTTCTCGCTGAGGGATCAGTAGAGGCTCAGCCAGGCTGGGCACACAGATGCCAGGGTGGCAGCGGCCCAGCTAGTAAGTGGCCCCAGGCTGGGGAAGGGAGCTCAAGGACTCTGCCAACCGTTTTGGCCCCTGAAGAGCTGCAGCCTTGCATCTGCCCAGGCTGAGCTGGTGCCAAGAAGTGGCATGGCACATGTGGGGCAAGGATGAGAGCCGGATCTCCGGCCATAAGGGTACAGAGAAGTGGGGGAGCCCCAAGAGGGCAGGCCCTGGACATGGAAGAGTGGTCTGTTGGCACTGACAGTGCAGGCCTGCGCCAGATCCTCATGGGAGTCAGTTCCCTAGAAAGTGGCCCGGGGCCTCCTGAGGGGGCACCCTGGCCAGTGGGCAAGTCACATGGGCTGCAGAAACTGCTCTTCTCCTCAGTTGGATTTCTAGGTTCTGTGCTGGGAGACACCTTGGCCTTTGGTCTCTAGGACTTTGGCTCAGAAATTCATGGGCCTCGGGCTTATCTGTGATGCCCCTTCCTTGCACGAATATCTGCCTTTTCCGAAAAGCCTGTGGAAGAAGAATCTGCAGCCAGATCTCAGGCCCTCAAAGCCTCGGGCTCCTCACTTGTAAATGGGCAGGCACAGGCCCCAGAAGGTACCTGGGAGGCCTGGCTGTTGGTCTAAGGAGTGCCAGACAAAGGGACCCAGGAGCCCCGGGACTTGTGCCCACCTCCATCTGTCCCACAGCTCTGGACAGGAGTTTCTCGCCAGCCTAAGAGACCACAGTCCTAACTAGATCCTGGGGGCTCCTGTGCAAGTCCCGCCCTTCCCAGGAGCTCCTGGGTGGTGGGAAGTTAACGCTACATACAGGCCAGGTGAGAGCACAGGCAGGGTACAGGGGCTAGGGCTGTCCTCAGAGCCGCCAGCAGGTCCTCCACAGCTGGGCCACGGCTCCATGCAAGGCCTACGGGGTGAGGATTGGGGTGGGCAGTGTCCAGGCTGGAAGTGCCCGTGGGTGGTGGCCCAGGGAGCAAGCTGGGGGAAGGGCTGCAGGCAGCGGTAGGTGTCAGGCGGGCCTGGGCACCACATGTGCCGCGTGGGCAACCATGTGGTGCCTATTTCATGCCACTGCGCAGCACCTGGTTGGCTGCGATGAGCATGACACTGATGATGAAGGCGATGGCGAAGGCGCAGATCAGGCTCTTGCGCACGCACGTCTGGCGGATCTGCTGGTTGGAACAGGCTGCAGCCACCCACCGGGAACACCAGGAAGAGACAAAAGAGGACAGCGGAGGGATGGGATCAGGTCTGCCCTTTGGCACCAGGACTTGATGTGGGGCAAACAGGGACGCAGGGCTGGGACGAGTGTGGAGGCCCCCTGCACACGCCCAGGCGCGCCCCCACTCACTGTCCACGTCCACAGGGCACTCCTCGGCCGTGCCAAGGTGGCTCTCCTCCTCCGTCATGATGATGTTCTCTATGTCCTTCATGGACAGGTGCTCGCAGAACGTGTCGTAGAGAAGTCGCTTCAGCTCGTCCACCGTCAGCTTCTGCATGTCACACTTGGGTGGCAAAAGGGACAGGCGCTCTGGCCACTACCCTGCCGGTCCCCACCCAGCACCCCGTAGGTGCCCAACCCCAAAGACAGGCCTCGGGTTCCATAAGACTAGGAGCACCTGCTCCATTCCCCTGAGGAGCCCAGGCCTCCAGGAAGCAGGGCAGCCAGTAGACAGCGGTCACCCGACTCACGGTAGCGTGGGCTAGCCAGTCACGGGCCCCTGCGACACCCAGTCAGCCAGGGCATACCTTCCAGAAGACGGTGTCAAAGTCAGTGCCGTGGAACTTCTCTGGGATCCCCGAGGTGGAAAGCTTGGGTCCCAGGAGGGTTACAAACTCCTCAAAGTCCACTTGGCCATCACCTAGAGTGGACAAAGGACTGATGAATGGGGCAAGCTGAGACGGACAGCTTGAGCAGGCATCGCAGAGTTCAGAAGACGGGAAATGGAGTCGGTGGCCTGCCTCAGACCTACGGCGGGACCCCAGCCCCTTCCCTGGGCCCTCTGGGTTTCAGGAGTGTCTAAAATGCCAGGCTCTGAGCTAGCCATCGTGATGGGGCTCTACCGGAGGCAGTGGGGGAGGGGAGCGGCAGCTGGTCCCCAGATGCGGGACACCTTCCTGGTACACGCATAACTCTTCAGTCTCCTCAGCACACTGTCCTTTCTGCCATACAGATGGGAAATGAGGCTCCACATGACGCTGCCTGCCCAGCTCAGTGCCCACTCTCTGGGGAGGGGAGTAAGGGGGAAGGGCAACAGGCGGGGTGGGGGAAGCAGAGTGGACTTGGCATTACTAATCGTCCTTAGGAGTTTTTCTTCACTGAAAACACCAGGTGGCAAATATAGCCGTCCTTTGGGTGGTGGGAGCTGCGGTGTGCCCACCCTCCTCCATACTTAAAATCTTTCTCCGACCACAGGATGGGAGGGGCAGTCTCGGACCCCAGATGTGCCTGGGCCTGTCACACCTCCAGCCTCCACTTGCTAGGTGCAGAACTGTTGGTTGATCATGACCACCCACAAAGCAAGAGGCCGAGTGAACTTGGCCTCCACTGTTCAGGCCCTTGGGCCTAGGTGACAAGGCTTTGGCGGGCAGGTAAAGCGAGGCAGGGCATCTCACCGTCCATGTCCAGGCGCTGGATGATCACCTCCAGCTCCACCTCGTTGGGCATGTAGCCCAGGGACCGCATGGCTGTGCCGAGCTCCTGCTTAGAGATGAAGCCGTTGCCATCACGGTCGAACACCTTGAAGGCCTCTCGGATCTCTGCGGAGGAATGGAGGAGGCTGGAACCTCAGCCCTGCCCCCGACAGCCCCTTTCCCACATTCCTGGGGTCTGAGGGTCCCACTCAGAACCTAGAGCTCTGCCGAGAGCCAGTCACAGGGTGTCCAGGACGCACTTGAGCTGTGACCTGGGGTCTCTGGGCAGGCAGGACAGAGGAGACAAAGGTGGACCTGGCCCAGGACGGTGACCAGCCTCGGGTCTGATGGCCTTGCTGGCAGGCTCAGGACCACACCATTGGTGGGCGCAGGGAGATCCCCTGGGGCTCCCCACTTTACATTATCTTGTTTCATCTCCTTCCCCCTGGGCTCCCTCTCCCTGGTCAGGCAGTGCTAGCTCATAGTGGGATGGCCACATGACTCCAGCTAGTGAATGATGGTTAGAATTCACAGGCCTCCCGGTTTAGACAAAAATAGGTCTAACAGCTAATCCCCGCTAGGCCCAGGCATCCTCTCCGCAAGCACAGTAGGGCGGATGGAGGCCAAGGTCCTGAGAGCTTCTGTGGGGAGCAGTGCACCTGTCTGGGACCTTGTGAGCAAGAACACAATGTACGCGCTTAGGCCAGCCTCAGTCTTATCCCCAGCAAATGGGGGTTACGCGTGAGCACCACTAAAGCTAAAGCAGCAGGAAGCTGCCGAGGGTTCCTAGCCTCCCACCTTTGCCCCACCTGTCTCTCTGCCGCTGTCCCTTGATTATCGCACCCAGCAAGGTCCTAAAGAACGTTTCCCTAGAGGGACAGACATCGATCCATTAGATCCGGCTCTCTGCAGGCTCCTTGTTCACTTGGCAGCCCCCCTGACCTTTGCCTAAATTGTTTCCTGGGTAGAATTTCACTCAGCAGGCAAAGTCAGGGTGTGTGTGTGTGTGTGTTTGTGTATAAAGACACACAAGATGCTCTACGCTGAAGACCTAGACCTAGAAGGGTTTTTGGAGGCCGGGAGGCCAGCCTAGCTCAGTGAGGATTCAGGGCTATTATACTATCAAGCTAGTTACACTACCCCAGGCCTGAGGGCTCTGTAAGCCCTGAAATGGCTTGCAAGGATCTATAATTTCCATGGCTTTAGGAGGACAAGGAAGTACAGAGCAGCCTGTTGGCCCTGCCACAGAGCAGAAATCACGGCCCACAGGAAGGTACCTTGGCCTCGGGTCGTAGTCCTCATCTGGCTCTTCCATGAGGAATCACCTATGAGGTCTGGAAGTCAGAGTCTCACAGGCAGCGTGGCTGGAGTAAACATCCATTCCCCACACACACCTCAGGCAAGCCCCGGGGAATGATTTCTGCACCAGGAGCTTCCAGGTCAGGAGAGTGGCTGGGCTGGTAGATCTGAGCCAGACCCGGGGGTCCTGAAAACCCTGGATTCCAGCAGCTCCAGGCCAAGTACCACCTAGGATTTTCTGTGCCCTGGGAGAGTGTGCCCCTTGTGGCCAGAGATGAAGACCTGGCAGCAGCCAAGCATGGGTGCTGTGGAGAATCAGGGCTGCCAAGAGTCCAGTGGCCTGAGTGTGTCTGGAGAGCGGTGGAGGTGGACTTGCATTCTCCTTCTCTCCCTGCCTCACTCTCCCCCTGCTCTCCTTTCTAACCAGTGCTATCACCTTTCAGGCCTGGCATCCAGGACACGGACACAGACCTCAGGGAGTCCCTCAAGTCTGGGGGACACCAGGACTGGCCTGAACCTGCATCTCTGTCTGTGGCATTCTTTCTGTTCCCATACCAAACTCTGATGTAGCCCAGATCCCCAGCTGGGATGATTCTGTCTCTCTACCCCTGGCTGGCCTTGCCTTGTCTCTGGCTGCCTATTCCCCCCCACATACAAAAACACCTGCTCTTTCCCTAAAATGGACTGTGCTAGGACCAGGTGGGTCTTGTCCACAGAGAGTCCCCATTACCTAGAACAAGCCTGTCACTGAAGCGCGAACATGCTGGATGACGAGGGGACTGAACAACCCTGTGGGAGCCTATCTCCTGGAGCACTCAGAGTTTTGTGCACCTCCCTCCACACAAGGTCCCTGGGCCACCCGCAGAGGGAGAAACGGAGCTGAAGGCGAGGAAACCAGCCACGGGTTGGTTTGGGGAGCTTCCAAATCAGAAAGTGTACCCCTTAACCCGTCAGGGAGCTCAAGGAAGGATGGCAAAGTCCTAGCCACAGTGGGGATGGTATGGAGCCACCCTCGGCTTTGAGCTGAGGTCTGAACTACATACTTCCCACCTCGGCAGGGTTCAAGGTGACTTTCCAATTGCAGGGCTGCCTCAGTGCCCTTTTCTGAGGCCCCTGAGGAAAATGCACCCGGCAGGGGAGAGAATGATGAGCAAGGGAATCTTGGGGCATATGCTCAGGGACAGGCTCTGAGACATGTGGGTACCAAAGCCATCTCTCAGGCAGGGCTGACCTCCCCAGGCTACTGGGTAAATCCACAGCTGGCCATTCTCCATCTGTGCATCCCCCCTTTGCCCTCCCTGCACACCTAGTTCACACTAACGTTTCAGAGAGCTACCCCAGCCCAGTCCGCTCATCTGTCTGCTTTGGGCACCATCTCCTCAGCCAGGGAAGCCTGCCGATGTCACAGAGCCAGGTTTGAATCCCAGCTCCGGGGCATCACTGCCGTTTTCTTGTACAACAGAACCTCCTGCGATGATCAGGAAAACCATTCAGGGCGGACACTGTAAAGCAGACAGTGTGGGAAGGAAAGGGAAGTCGGGGGGAACCTGGGGTGCCACTCTGGCCTGCCTGATGACTGTGACCGGAACCCAAAGCCTGGGCTTGAATTCTGTCTGGCTCTCTTCCTCAGCAGTCAGGTGACCTGGGCAACTCCTCCACTGTCAGATAAGATGAGGTTCCTGTCCTATGGCTGGGGTCTAGCCTCTGCTAAGGACTCCGTGAGGGGGTGGGTGTCAGGATGCCCTTCACTGTAACATCGTGGACAATCATGGCTAGGTGCATTCCCCGAAAGCCTTGCTCCTTCCCTGCCCCATGAGGCCAGGCAAAACTCACTGTACTCCATCTTGGCATGGAGACGTCTGGCCCGGAAATGGGCTGGCAGGGCCTGTAGGTTTCCAGGCTGATATTGTCCCCTACCTTCTATTTTTAAGCTCACATCCCCCTGACCCTCCCAAACCTGCAGAGCTGCACTGCGGCCTGAGTCACCGGCAGACCAAAAGGATGCCAGTATTCTGCTGGAGAGTTTGAGTCTAGCTAGGGGACACTGGAAGGGTGACATGGAAGGGGCAGTAGTCATCCTCTGTGGAGACTGCCACTCTCCGCGGCACTGGCCCTGTGCCCCAGCTCTCCATCTTCCCTGAATTTTTGGCTGTGCAGAGGCGCAGGCCTGTCTGGGCTTCAGAAAGCAAGGGCAGAGAGGGGCTCCCTGACGCCGATGGCTCCAGTTGGCCACCCTCAAACAGGCTCCACAGGCTGCAGCTCAGGTGCCCACCACAGAACCCAGCCTTGTGGCTGTTTGCCTCTCCCCTTCCTGGCCAGCCACTCCCATCCCTTACCCTTGAATGCTGGACCCCGTTGCCTCGGTGACTAGTCTGTCTCAGTGTTCCTGGAGGTCCCCACTTGGATGCATTTCAGAAAGGGGGCATGTTCCAGCCACGGCGGGGTGTTCAGAAGGAACGTGCCTCGATCACACGGGCCTATGGGTGGGCCTCCAGGTTAAGTCTGCATAGCCCTGTCCTCCTCCTGCCAATAGCTATGCAAAGCTTCCCAGGCCCACAGGCCCCCAGTCCTGGCCCCTACCTTGCCTTCTTGGCCCAATACTTGTGCCATTTGCCACCTTGCCTTGGGGCCTACTCCAAGCTCCTGAGACTGTAGGGCGTTCTTCCCCAGTCTCTTTTGCTGTTACATTTAGGTCCTCGGTCCCCACTGCCTGGCCCTCTGCTGAATAATCCCACAGATTCTCCCCCCATTCCATCCCGGGGACCACAGTGCCACAATCCCCTTGGGTAGATGGGACTCAGAGAGGCCAATGAGCATCCAAGTTCACTCCATGAGCCGAGGGTGCAGACTCGAACCCAGGGCTACTTGGCTGTTCTCACCCTACGCCCACATTCCCCATCCTCTCTTCCTGCTCCTGGCCCTCCTCCCCCGCTCGGCTTGACCGATTTCTGCAGCAGAAAAAAAGCTCGAGGCATGGGGTATGTGTGCAGCACTCTATCCCAGACCGCCTACCCCCCTACCCAGTCCGTGTGGCTCCCTCACTGATGCCTTCCAGAAGCGGGCCTGGGTCTCACCCAGACTGCCCCGGACAGGAACACTGTGTGTACTGGCAAGGCTGGCATCGCTATGTAGGACGGCCACTCTGCTCCCAGCCCTG